GGTTTTATCTCTGATGCTACACGGCGTACAGAAGCAGTGGTATTCTACATGCATGTGTGATATTACGTATGCAGCAAGGATGCAAATCCCTTGAAGATGGTAGGGCTGGTCAGGAGTAGACTCCATTTACCATACTATGTACACGTGCTTGTAACGCTATGGATTTTGCCCTGTCCGTATGATATCGTATCTATGTATGTACTACCTAGAGCAGGCTTTCGCGTTTCCTGCAGGTATACCTATGTAAAGCCCTCAACAAGGATATGAGGACCCGTCAGGGTCTGTGATGTACTGTAGGTATGTCGTAGGCGGGCAATTCAGGTTTGAGGTATCGCAGGAAACTCTTCATCGAACCTTGCAGGAGCACGCACATCCATGGGAGCATCCGGCTCCCTTTTAGTGGCACCAGCTTTCCTTTCCAAGCTCTTCTGTTTCTCTATCAGGTTTATGCAAGAGGTGCCTGTCTGCAGCGGACAAGGTTGCGTGATTGGCCGTTCGTCGGCGCAGACAGGGAATTGTCCAAGGCTCCCTGCCTCTGCAGCTCCTTTTGCTGCTCTGCGATTTGAGGAAGATGGCCTCTGTGGCCCCCCCCGTGTCTGCTTGCGTGGCCCCTCATTGACGTGCGGATACCTGGACGCAGACAAGGCCACTCATATCATCAACAAGCATTTTCTGACTGGCATCCATGATACATCCATGATCGCTACAAGTTCACTTTAGCCAGGCCCAGGCAACCGACTGCTTCCCCGCCGCGCTTGGATCTGCAGAATAGCTCCCCCCGGTTCCCCTTGTCGAGGTGTCTGTTCTGTCTGTCCCTTTTCTTGAGTGCCCGACGGCCGCTGCGGCGCGCACCGGCATCGTGGGTTTTAGCGGTGACCAGGACGCTGGCCGAGGTATGTAGCCAGCCAACCCAGCCAGCCATCCCCGCACGCTCTGGTACATACATAGGTATGTAGTCGAGATGATGCTGATGTAGACGCTATTACGACTTGGATGGAGTTGCCAGCAAAGATCAATTCAGTCATCGGATCGACGATACTGAAATCTGCTACAATGTTCACAATATTAACAGCATCAGTGTCCAAGTCTGGGGAAGTAATAGTTGTTCTTTGTTATGAATGGAAAGGATTCGCGACTCCAGGAAGCATCTCGTATGTCTCGTCTGTCGGCAGAGTCCGACAGGCTGATGGAATGACTCTGCCAAGCTCAAACGACGGAAAGTTCCGGCAACCATCTCGTCAGAAAAAGAGACCGCGGGCTGCGTGACACACGAGGTGCAACAGCCCTCCATCCTTGGGGCTGAGCACCCCACTGAACGAGGAGCTCCTGTTTCCTCTATGTTTTCGCATCTTGTTCAGCTCGCTTAGACAAAACGGAACTCTTGCTCCAGTCCAATCTACCTCATGCCCAGTCTTGATGCCAGAACGGGATTGATCTCTCGGAAAATCTCCAGGGCTCGTCCTTCAAGCGCCGATACAGCGTAGCAGCACGGACGGAGCCTATGGAGTTCGTGTGAATGCGTCGGCGACATGCGGTGGGGAAAGGCTTGCAGAGGAACTGACCATCGCCGCGCGTCGGATACGCATACGATACTGCAAGTAGGTATGGAGTACTCGTACATCGTATGTAGTATTTCAGGCAAGTCGGCTGCAGGGATTGATGGCTGGTGCAATTTGTGGAGGTTTTGTTCCTTCGTGATGCGCGTGCTCACTCGAGGAAGTAATAGCAGCGCATCGCACATACAAAGCACAGTCGACTCATGGGAAGAATACCTTGATACCTACTGTTGATAAACGACTATCAATGACTGGATTTGCGATATAGAGATGCCCTCAGTGTATATAGACACTTGCAAGAGAACACACTTGCACTGTGGAAGTAAAGCATGTAGCACACCAGCCAGCGGCGTGCCTGGAAAATCCCCATCTGATCTTCATCTCGAGCCAAACTTTCCTCTGTGGCACCACCGCCAATGACGATGCGTGGATGCTCAAGCCTCGACTATCTGCCAATCTCGCTGTACTGATCTGCCCAATTAGCAGGCTAGCCGGGCTGCTTCTGTGTGCCATTTGCCAGGAATCTCGGACCCATTCATAGGTATCATCCATCAGTCATTATTAATATGGGTACGGTGCTCGAAGAGATGCCTGCGTGCGCACGACAGTATTCGGTCCTTTGGATCGCCATACTTTCTGGCGGGTTGCGTGTTGCGTGTTGCTGAAGATGTCATACTGTGTTGGGTCAGAAGAGTTGCTCCATCGCTCCCCCCGGTTGCCAACGCCGATCAGGTCCGGAGAGCGCCGTGCTGGCCAGGCCTAGACATTTTGCTAAATGCTCGGCACTTGTGGGATGCCTCCATGATGAGCGAGGCCCCGTTGCTGCACGGCATTGGGCTGCTCCATACCTGAGGCCTGCAATGCAACTTGGCTCAACGTCCCGCAATCCATATCTCGTGATAAAAATGGAGTTTTGCCAGCGCCACAACCGTTCTTTGAGTCGACCTGATGGCCCTTTGGCATGCTGGTGCTGCTTATAGTAGTAGTATGATTATCATTATAGTATTACTACTAGCCGTCAATTGGAGAACTTACATACATAGTAATGTCTAGACTGGGGTATTACTCGTACGAGGGCGCCTTTGGACGGAAAGTCGAGTTGAGCAGCCCTTCTAGCGTGAGCAGGGCTTCTAGAAACACCAAAGTTTAACAGGCGGCTTGACCTAGTAGCAAACTTAGCAACTCCTAACACTCTCCACTGTGTGCCGAGGCATGGACGAATGTGGCAACGGGTTTGACTCGAGGCTCTCGCAACAGAAGAACGAAACAGCATGTTCTGTGTAATTGTCATGTCGTGCAAATCAGCCGTAACCGCGCCTCGCTCTCTCTTCTGACTCGCCTCAATCTGCGTCAGCGAGCGGCTCCTTGACTTCCCCCCATGGCTCTCCTCGGATCTTAGATTTTGTTATCCAGGTAGTACTGGTAGTGAGTATGTTATTCCAGCCATCATGGACAGAAGCGGCATTGCAAGAAAGAGGGAGGGGGTGGGGGTTCGATGAACTCACAAACGCGGGAGGGGGCGTACAAGTAGCAAGGGCACGCAACCACGCAAGCCGGGGGAGGGGAAGAGGAGCGGGACTAACAAGGCGAATAGGTAGGTATGGAAACATGAGGCTCGGTGACGGGATTGGAACTTGTCTTTTCGTGGCATCAACGAACGACTCGAATGGATTTGTCGAGGGACGAAGCATGGCGCCAGCCGGAGTGCCGGATAGTTGAACAGCCGCGTGGCTGTTTCCTTTACCCCCTTCAAACCCTGACCGTTTCGTCGCATTGGACACGTTCTCAAGGGTTCCTTGTTTGCGCGCGATGCCATTGATGATAGAACGGGCCGGTGGCCTTGCCTCAAGGTGATGTAGAGTTGCCTATCTTAGGCATCGATCGTTGTAGTAGCCATTGTGGGAAGACCCAAGCTGCTCTATATACGACCAACTTTCCCCAGAGCTTCCATCATGTCAATACCTATGCCGAACAAAAAGTAACATTCAAGCTGGTATTTGACCCAGCTGGGGCTCGACCATGAAAGCGTGGGAATGGATGCAGATGGCCTCATGTACCCACGACAAAGATCCCCTGCAGTAGATCAGCGTCAAGCGCGCTTCTGCAGGGAGGACGTTTAGCCTGGCGTGGCTCCGGTTTAGTAGCAGGACAATTTCGAGCGCGCGCACACGAAAGACTTCAAGGGAGCTCCTAAAAGCGACGGGGTAGAGCCAACAGGGCTGTAACTACAAAGCTGCAACTTGAAAGCTCGGGCTATTACCAAGACTCCTGGAGCCACGAGCGGCGGCTCGGGTTTTGCACATCGCTAACCCCGAGAGCCACGAGGATTGCAGCTGGGTTGTTAATACGTGTAAGTAGGTACTTGTAATAACGTGAATGGTATCTCTGCAGGCGATGGCTCACTCGGAATTACAGAGGTGATTAGAATAATAATAATAATAATAATAATACAGGATGCTCGTGCCGACTCAGCCCGCATGAGATATGCAGCTGTTGGTCCTGACCAACAATCAATGGCGACCCGTCAATCTTTCGATTCTTGGTGAGGTCATCCATCTTCCAATGATCGTGTTCCTTTTAAGCACTGTATTTTTGCGACCATCGGTGGCATTTGCAGGGGCTTTGCTGCAAGTGCCTTCATCAGCGTTAGCCCACAATCAGCTAAGGTCGGGTACGAGCACTGTACATACCGCCTGAGGTGCCTCAGGTCTCGTACCTTACCTACTGTACCTACCTAGCACTCAGCGCTGCGACCCCCTGTAAGGTTACCTACCTTACCTACTGAGGTAGCGAACAGTCACATCTCGCTAGAACAAAGCGACGAAGCGAGTTGCAAACGACGGTTGCTTCTGGGTTTGCCACGGCCAGATCCTGGGCGAAACTTGTGATATCATATCATGCTATGTAGTAGTATATCACAAAATGATGCTCCTGGTGCTATACGGATCTCTTGATCCGCTGTCACTGCTCCGAACAAACTGCGGATGACAGGTACATGTAGGTGTACTCCTAGGTACCTGTAGTCCACCTGCGCAGCGTCAAGCATCACACAGTGCAGCACAGTTCGCCTCCGTGTCACTTCCATCACAGGGGAAAAACAGACGCCCCATCCATTACTAATACGACGCAAGCCCTTGAGGAGCTTGGACACCTCTCGATTGTCTCCATCATACCTAGACCAAACTCCTCTCTATCCCCACGAACCACACCCCTCGTCTCGTGCAATTACTACCTGGAATAGCCTGCATCAACTCCCTGACCCGTCGATCGCCCCCGCGTCCAGACTCCGAGATATTTCCTCACCGGTTTCACTAGTTTTCAACGACCGCCACACAGCCGTCATTGGGGCTTCGAACTACTCCGTGTCCTCGGTTCTAGCACATCCGCCAACAGCATCAAACCCTCCTTCATCAAGCTATCTCTATCTACTCGTCCACAGACGCAATGGCTGCTGCCGCCCTCGACAATGCCAACCCAACCATTCTGAGCGCCTCGCAGCTCCCAACCCGGCAGAAGCGGTCCGCCCCGCGCAATGGGCCTGACTGTAGATACTCGGACCTGATCTTCGCCAAGCCCTCCTACCTGTCTCGGCCCTTCTTACAAGACGATGATATCCGGTATCAGGATGACACAGCGGCGGCAGTGCCCTGGTCCCGCCTCGGTGCCGGCTCAGGAGCTGCCGACGAGGACCGTCTATCGGCCGAGCCCATCGACGAGCAAGAGATCTACGGTATGATTGATACCCCCTACCAAGCTCTACCTGCCCTGTCTGCCCTGTCTGCTTTTCATATACTTGAATCGTATTCTGCCGAAATGGCATCCCTCTTCATCCGTGCGTGCTTTCTGCACCATCTTTGACCCAGCTCTGCTTGGCGATTTGAAGTGAGGACTGATGCTGCTCCTCCTCCCCGACATGTCCAATCCCGTTTCGTCAATATCATGACCCCGTCAATGGCTGGGGGAAACTGCAAGCTCTATCAACCTCCGTTGCTGGCTTCAGTAACGAGCTAGTAACGACCATAGCCTCTGCGCTGATTGAATGAAGCGCAACTCTCATCCATTTCACCCTCAAACAACTTCATCTCGAGTCGCCCTACGACTACTCTACTGCCCATTTTTTTTTCACCCCCCCCTTCAACGTCACACACTATTGCTGGCAGAGGATGGTAAGGCTAACGCTCATACCTAGATCTCATTTCTAACATAACTGATCCGGAACATCCCGTCTCGTTGGGCCAACTGTCCGTCGTCAACCTCCCCGACATTCACATCACTCCCTCCCCGGCCCTTGGAGTGCCAAGTCCGAATACCATCGTTCATGTCACTGTCGAACTTACCCCTACCGTCACCCACTGCTCTCTCGCTACCGTGCTCGGACTTGGCGTGAGAGTCCGGCTCGAGCAGGTGCTGCCTCCAAATTACCGCGTGGAAGTCATTTGCAAGGAGAACAGTCATAGCCAGGATGATCAAGTGAACAAACAGCTCAGCGACAAGGAGCGTGTCGCAGCCGCTCTGGAAAATGACTCGCTGCGGAGTGTTCTGGACAAGATGCTGGAGTCTTGTATAGAGAACTGAGTTGCTCTCAGAATCGAAACGACAAAACTCTCACAACCAAGACGACAGTGTGCTACGCAGGGCTAAAGGCTTGTCTGCTGGCACCAGCCTATCCATCATCCAAAATCAAATGTATGTGATGCCATCTCAATCGCCAGCAGGCAAGGCCATTCCTCGCTTCCTCAGCGCATGATGTCAAACCATTCGCGCCAATGGTCTCAGGGAGCTACATGGCTAGTGCCCAAGACACTCGATGAAGGAAGCTCCGGCGTCATTAGGAGGCCACGCATGTCGCCACCAAGATCACATGGAGGAGCCGCATAAAGGAGTGCTGCTTCCGCTATCCTGGTATCGTGCGCATCGTTATGTGCCATGTTGGGTAGCATCGTCATATTCGTCGACCTTGAATATCAACCCCCGCGAAGGACGACTAGGGGCAAACACTGATAACTGCGCAAGCTAGCCGAATCCAAACAAAACTTTCTGGGTACTTGTTCAGAAGGGTGGTTCTCCTATGTGTGTCAACTTCGTGCTTTCTGTCGCCTGGTGTGAGGTCAGTAGAGCATGGTCAGGCGCTCGGGTATCGTTTCTTTCGGATTGGCGAGAGCCACACTTTGTTGTTTGGCCGTTTGTGTGTTCCTTCAGCCGTGGTCGAAGTCTGACAGGCCATTGAATCTGTCGGTTGAAGAAAGCTTTGGTCAAGGCGTATAAATCTACAAAGCACATATCCCGAGATCTGAAGGATTTCCGGTCATTCCACATGTGCAATCCCGCCGTGACTTGACGCATCGAGACTCCAATTGCCTCTGTGATGGCCTCTATCAGTATGGCTAAATCTACGATGGCATGCCGGCAGAACGAGTATCTCATCCCCGCGGTACGAGATATCCACACGTCAGCACCTTTTGCTGTATCCTGAACGAACCATTGCTAGGTTTACGAAGCTATTCCTCACAAGGTATTACATCATACGCTTTTCGAGAGACACCACGTCGACTCGAGTTAGCAAAGACGAAAGTCATCGCGGCAGAAACAGGAATGGCGGGTTCCTTGTGTGTACAGGCGGTGAGGGTGAGCCCCTGTTAGAGGACCGGCCTGACTTGTCAAGTTCTTGAATCATGTCGCGCACCTTTGGCGGCAGACCAACACTGTCAAGTCATATTACTACCTGACTCTAATTGTATAAGTTATTTATCTATCTTACGAGATGCTATCTACAGTAATATGTACAAGAGCATTTCATGGGTAATAGAAGACACAGATAAATAGAGAAGCATTTGAGGGACCACCTATAGAGTATATCTGTAACATGACAATGTGGTTGCTCATGTGAGTAACATGATCAGGCCGGTTGCAGATGTGACTCCCCACGCCCGGGACCATCTACACTGACTGCACACATGCTCAGTCCAAATCATCAGCCATGACGAGGAAGAAGGGACATCTCCTCCTACCTATCCGTCTGATGAATGCCGCCAATCTCGCCACCTCTTACATGGACCACCTCTCAAGAAGCCATAGCACATATGATAGATCCCACGAAAGCTCTCCATGGTCATCGCCACTATTGCTGCTTAAGCGCACCTGTGGTACTGCGAATCAATCAAAACAGAAACAAGGCAATGCAACCAATTTAGACTCAGGCCCATGTTCCCCAGAGCTCTCTACCCCTTGCACCGGGGACGATAGCAATGAAGAAGAGCCAGGGATGGCATGGGTTATCCTTGAAAAGGCAAACCGTCCAACTAGGTACACAACACGCCATTGTTCCACCAATCATGAACAGACTCTAGCTACGTGATGAGTTGTTGTGATATGCGAAGGTCTGGTGGCTTGATGGTTCTTACTCGTCTCTTATTAAGCTGGACCTCCAACGTCTGCGCTGGGCCATTATATATACATGACATTCTAAATGCCGCTCTTCTGTGCCCTTCTTAATGGCTTGCATTTGCAATGGAGCCTCTTTCTTCAACTGTTTCGACGTGCTTTTTCTATAACGTTGAATCGCGGGTTCAGCGGCATGATACCATACCAATATAGCTCTCGCTTATATGTTCATCGTCTCAACACCATCTACCTAGCCCATAGAAGATTTATACATCACCGAGCATACCACTCTCCATCAGGCTTTGGTAAAACTCAGGCTCCAGGAACGTCTTGACGCTGACGTCCTCGCTGAGGCCCTTGCGGCGCCTCGTCTTGAGCACAAAGTCTCGAGCCGTGGCCTGCGCTGAGGCGGGCTGCAGCGGCCTCGTTACCTGGTCTCTGTCGAGCGGATCGCCGGGCACGATGTTCCAGCTGTCAAAGACTAGGCTGACCATTGAGCCGCCCTGCGTCTTGATGCGCAGGTCCGTCTCGAAGCCAAAGCTGTCGATGACGGGGATCAGGCCGTTGACGCGGTATAGGGGCGTGCCGGCAACGGGGCCGTCGGAGAGGACGTGGCCTCGGCGTCGGGCGAGCACGTTGTAGACTTCCATGTAGGAGTCTTCCGGTCCCGTGACGGATACCGCGTAGACGGGCTCCATGAGGCGCGGAGAGGCCATGAGGAAGGATGAGTAGCATGCTCGGCGAGAGGTAGGGATGATTTGGCCACCACCGCGGAAAATGGCCTCGTTGGCCAAGACTACGTCTGTGACCTTGAACTTGGTATTACGGATAGCTATAACTCTTGTCAGCAAGTTGTCACGACACCAACGGCATAAGGTTGGGAATTATAAGGTTGGGAAAGAGGCAAACGGGCTATTGGAACGTACGCTCTTCGCAGAGGGGGCCTTCACGGGTAGCCCAACTGAAGCCCTGTCTGATGGATTCCTTGACAGTACTCAGCAGTTTCTTGTCGACCTGATACGGCAAAAAGAAGACCATTAGCGAATTGTTCACAATCAAGCAGCACAATCAACCCGAGTCGGCTTACCTCCGTAGGCAGGGTGTCATCTTGAAGAATATTTGGTCCCATCTCGTCAGGACCAAAAGCCCAGATGCTTCTGGCCGCCAACTTGTCCCAGCCGTGCTTCTCCTCAAAGAACTTGGCCGTTTTCCGTACAGGATCACGTATCCTGACAGCGCCCGTCTCAATGTCTGTGGAAATGCCCTTCTCCAGCTGCTCTGCCACCATGGTGATCTTGTTCTTCTTGTTCGGCGTGATGGCGTAGCACTTTGTCGCCGACGTCTCCACCACCGTCTCGCAGAATCTTGTGACTGGATCTGAGACCTTGATGTCCATGTCGGCATATAGGCGCCGCAAGTCATGCAATACGCAGTCCATGTAGAGCTCTCCGGTCCCCAAGATGATGTGCTCTCCAGACTCTTCGACTTTGGTGCTGATCAGGGGATATGACTTTTGAACTTTGCGGAGTCCGTCGAGCATCTTGGGCAGCTCGGAAGGATTGACGGGCTCGACGGCTACTTTGAGGACAGACTCGGTAAAGTGAGTCACGGGCTTGAAGATGAAAGCATCCTCATCATCCTCTAGCTTGGGAGGTACTATTGTTGCAGATTTGACAATGGAGTTGTCTATTCCTCCCAAGAGCACCATGTTACCTGCAGGGACGCCGTCTGTGGGAACGTTGTACCGAGACTCTGCGATAAAAACCTCGCCGATGGACGCCATTGTCATGTCTTCTTCGTCGTCAAGAGAATAGCCCTCGCCAAGGACTCTCACGGCAGCACCAGGCCGAGCTGTGCCGCTCAGAACACGACCAAAGGAGTAGAAGCTCTTGGCGTCCGAGGTATTGAAGAGCTTTGTGACGTGGACCACCAAAGGATCGTCCTGATTGCATGTCCTCATCGACTCTGCAACCTTTGTATCCAAGGGGCCGGTGTAGTATCGCTCCAACAACCGGTGTGCGCCTTCTGACGGCGAGGGAATGTGCTTGACGACCATGTCGACGAAGCCCGTTGACGGACCAAAGAACTGTTCGCATACGAGCTTAAGGATGACGTTTGCGTCGGCCTTGTACTGCGATGGCTTCAGCTCAATGCCGAGAGAAGCCAGAACGAGCTTCAGCTGTTCTGGACTGTCGCTGATTGAGTGTGTGAAGATTTTGTAGATGGGTTCTAGGACGAAATGGACAAAGGATCTCGCAGATCTTTCTTCCGCCGGCTTGCGAGTAAAGTTCCGCCTCTTAGGGTTGTAGTAGACATCTCCCCACAGCCGCTTGGCAAAGTCGTCTGGGTTGATGTCGCCATAGGTATCAGTATACATCTTGGCGAATGAGGGCAGCGTGAAACACCATCCCATGTCCGTGCAGGCGAACAGGACGTTGCCTTTTTCGGGACTGAGCCGCCTTGAAGCTGCCTTGGTGGGCACAGTGTTAGCGATGACGGTGTTGACTTCTTCCACAACGTGCTTAAGCTTGAAGTAGGCGTCCTTGGGGGGCAGCTTCAGCTCCAGAATCAGACGGTCCATCTTGTTGATGATGAGTGTCAGGGGAATGTCCTCCAAGACGGCGTGCTTGATGATCTGCTCGGTGTTGACCTGGACACCCTCGACCACGTCCACGACCAGACATACGCCATCCACCAGCCGGAAAGCCGCTGCCACTTCGTCCACGAAGTTGACGTGGCCGGGGGTGTCGATGATGTGGAAGAGGTGCGACTTCCCCTTGGTGCTCTGCAGGACAAGGCTCATCGGCGCAGCCTTGATGGACAGCCCTCGCTCCCGCTCCAGCGTGTGCACGTCAGTGTATCGCAGGGCCTCATCCCGCTTCTTTCCAACTCTCCGGTCCAGCCTGTCCGCAATGTCATGGGTCTCCATCACGAGCATGTCCATGAAAGCCGTCTTTCCGTGATGCAGGTGGCCTGCCAGTGCAATGTTCCTTGTTTGGTCGGGGAAGTTCATCAGATCGGCCATGAACTCGCGGTCGAAGAAGACGGGGGGCAGATCAGCCTCTTCGACGTTGAACTTCTTCTGCTCGACCGGCGCAATGATGGGTTCCGTCAGAGGCTGCGCATCTTCCTCTTCTACTCGCGTCTCGACGTCGGCGCCGTACACCTGCTCGGCCGTGGGATAATACTGCTTGTCTTCGTGGAGGATGACGGCGTTGGAGGGTCCATCTGTTCGGAGGGTGTGCGCAATCAGCCATCTGTGACGCGGTGTCCCTGCCAGGCTGTGAGATGCTTACCATCGAGCTCCATGAGCTCCTGTCCGGCGACACTGGGCGCCTCCTCCTGCTCGTCGTCGTACGCATAGTCGCCCGCCTGATCTCCAGCCTCGGATGCTGCCTCAGACTCAACCTCTTCCCCAATGAAGTTTCCGAACCTATGGCGAAAGCTTGTCAGCAGCTCGATCACAGCCAGCTATGCTCTGCTTTGCTCTGGAACCAGCGGAAAGTCTTACTCATCGTAGAGGTCATCCATTTTGCCGTCGGTCTGGTCCAAAAGCCAAGGTCAATGGCGGGCGACGAGGTTCAAGATGCTCGAGGCTCAAGACACGGGTATCGTCGCAAGTCGCGTATGTACGAAGTACCAGCTCTTGGCTAAACCGACCGCCTGCCTGTGCTAAAACCGGGTCCCTTGCCGACTTTTTTCTTGCTGCAGGCATTAGCTTGGAGGAACGCGTCACGTGGAGATATGCAAGGCTGAAGCTTATCGTTGCTTATCTAAGCGTTGATATTCGCCGTCAGGCACAAGGTAACGATACTTTCGACATACTACTACCTTACCTCCTAGTAGGTACCTAGTAGTATCTGCTATGTGGTGGGTAGGTAGGTACAAAAGATAGTAGTAAGAACAGTACCTAGTAGACAGGTAGTTATGAAAGGTGGGCCGTCGTTGACTTTGGTTTCTGCGAGTGAAGTTGGTAAGAAGATGAGCTGGAAAGCTCAAAGGCTCAACTCGGGACTTGTTTGTATTGTACTTCTCTTCGTTTCCCGTTGTCAATCCATATACGATACATGTACCTTGCTTCCAACCAGGCTATACCGACACCAATTGGGCTCTCATGCATCTATAGCCTTATGGTACCTGAGGTATATCAGCTATATCAAGTTGTCATCATCTCGATGACCCAGCATGGAATTGAATCGGAAGGATTGAGTAATCGTCTGCACGTTGGTTGAGACTCTTGACTGCCGCGTTTACGGATACGGATACGGGAAGGACCCCCAGCTCGCATCTTAGTACTAGCGTAATCGCGTGGGACCGACCTCACGTCAATGGCATCTCGAGTTCACTACAGACAACAGTGTGCTCGTATCCGTACCGTCTCGATGGTTTGACAAGCTTGAAATTGATGCAATCAATCAATTAATCAATCAATCAATCAGATAGATTCATCAGCAACATCAAGGGTGCTCAAGATGGCCCAGTTGTCTTTTTGTGGAATGGACACAATACATACAATGGCTCATGATAGGTACCGTTTCTGGCTCAACTTGTAACCAAACTTATTGCCGGACACGGATATCCGAAAGCCTCAGGTACCGGGTACGAGTACCTGTCCAGAGGGCTCCATAGAGGGGTCCTCCCAGAGGCCGAAGCACGGCCACTAAGCAGAGCAACTGCCCCTCTACGCCGCCTCTCGGCTTCACTGATCAGGGACCATCAACCGTTATCAATCTCCCGCTGGTCAAGACGATGCCAGCGTTGCGCCCATTGACTTTGACTGGCTGTCTCGGTACCTGAATACAACTACAACCTGGAATCCCTGTTGTCGACCGTCTCCATCATCAGTCCAGCCTTGCCCCCCCCCCTTTGTGATTTATTGGTCGTCATCCCAAACGTGCTTGTCCGAGTACGCCCCTCCAGGCTGTCATCACTCAATCGCGGCTCGATCTGTTGGGCTGCACTAGTAGTATATAAACCCCGTTGGTGGCGCTCTCCATCTTTTTTGCTCTCCTTCATCTCTTCATACCCAATCCATCCGTCTCTTCTCCCCTCCCCTATTCACGCCAATTCCAGCCTCTTTCCGTCCTTCAATCCCTCCAATCCTCCCCCAAAATGTCTGGTCTTCCTCCCGTCTACATTGTCTCCGCTGCCAGAACCCCCGTGGGTTCATTCTTGGGGTAAGAATTGCAATTGCCCTCCTTGTTAACATAACACGTTACAGCCCGATTGCTAACTCTTCGAATCCAGCTCCCTCTCCAGCCTGAGTGCCACGCAGCTTGGTGCCGCCGCTATCAAAGGTTCGCCTGCTTCCCACCACCGCCGTCGTATTCTTACGAATCAATCGCTAACAGCACTCTAGGAGCTGTTGAGCGCTCTGGCGTCAAGCCCGAAGACGTCGAGGAGGTCTTCTTCGGCAATGTCCTCTCCGCCAAGTAAGACAACACGCGAAATCGAACCCCTACACGATCAACCAGTCAGACAAATACTTATACTTTCATCTCTTTAGCTTGGGCCAGGCTCCCGCCCGCCAGGCCGCCATCGCCGCCGGCCTCCCCAAGAACGTCATCACCACCACCGTCAACAAGGTCTGCGCTTCATCCCTGAAGGCCGTCATCCTCGGTGCCCAAAACATCATGCTGGGCGTCAACGACATCGTGGTCGCCGCCGGTGCCGAATCCATGTCCAACACCCCCCACTACCTGCCCAACCTCCGCACTGGTGCCAAGTACGGCGACCAGTCCCTCGTCGACGGCGTCCTCAAGGACGGTCTGACCGACACCTTCAAGAAGGAGCACATGGGTCTCCAGGCCGAGCTCTGTGCCGAGGAGCACAACATCAGCCGCGAGGCTCAGGACGAGTACGCCATCAACACCTACAAGAAGGCTCAGGCTGCCACCGAGGCCGGCCTCTTCAAGGAGATTGTGCCCGTCGAGGTTCCCGGCCCCCGAGGCAAGCCCCCCGTCGTCGTTGACCGCGACGACGAGGTCAAGAACCTCAACGAGGCCAAGCTCAAGGCCATGCGCCCAGCCTTCAAGCCCGATGGCTCCGTCACTGCCCCCAACGCCGCTCCCCTCAACGACGGTGCCGCCGCCGTTGTTCTCGTCTCCGAGGCCAAGCTCAAGGAGCTCGGACTCAAGCCCATTGCCAAGATCCTCGGCTGGGGCGACGCCGAGCGTGAGCCCGAGCGATTCACCATTGCCCCCGCTCTGGCCATCCCCAAGGCCATCAAGCACGCCGGCCTGACCCCCGAGGACGTCGACTACTACGAGATCAACGAGGCCTTCTCCGTCGTTGCCCTCGCCAACCTGCAGCTCCTCAACCTCAGCCCTGAGAAGGTCAACGTCTTTGGCGGCTCAGTCGCCATTGGCCACCCCTTGGGTGCTTCCGGCGCCCGTATCCTGTCCACCCTGACCTCCGTCCTGGCGGAGAAGAAGGGCAAGATTGGTGTTGCTGGTATCTGCAACGGTGGCGGTGGTGCCTCTGCCCTGGTCATCGAGAACCTGCAGTGACTGGCTGCATCCGAGTCAGCCTCGGGACTGGAGGCGTCGAAATTATAAAGCTTTACGAATATATGAGTACCTTGGAATCTGAAAGCGAGGTAGGGGTAAAAGAAAAAAAAGCGCCTTGATTGAGCGAAGAGATTTAGACCTCCCACAACATATACTGCCAACCATTGTGTGAAGGCTTGGCTGGGCTGGAGTTGGGATATACATAGGGATTAAATAATGCAAACAAATGAAATGAATACCCGAATCGCACAAACATGGTCTCTTGTGATCATACTCTTCGCAGGCACTGAAATCAAGACGCCATCTAGAAAACAATTCTCATAATCAATTCAGCCTTCACCACCTACTACTACCTTAGTACTTACTGGGAAGCTACCTGTACTTGGAAAAAAAGACAATGATACGTAACAACCTGAATGGGAAGAGAGAGGAAAATACGAAACAACAGTTTAAAGAAAAGTCCGCTGCAAAATGAAATTACCCAGCAGAGAGCCCAAGTCCTCATCAAACAAACATCCACTTCCACCGGGCTCTCGACGAACCCTTCGCGTACTCGTGTCTCGCGTGCGTTTACCATCAACCTGCCGCCTGCTGTGCTTTTTTCTCGTGTGTGCGAGCGTAGATGCAGAGAATACTTCTTGTATTCGTGTTCTTGTTGGAGGGCAAAGAAGCTCTGCGACCAAGGGTGAACAAGTCTGAAGCAATGAAACAAGGCACAAAGGCGCAACCCAATTCCGCTCGCAACATGCCCGCACAATCTCCTTTTTTCCAAAAGAGAAAGAGGGTGAACAAATGAAAGGACGGGTAAAAGAAATGAGATTGTCGTCGTCATTCAAACAAAGCAAGAGTGAGGACCGATTCCTCTGATGCCTCCTAGTCCATATCCACGTCCTCGTTCGAAGCTGGTGGAGGGATGCCTTCGTCCATCCACCTGCGGAAATTCTTGTTCTGTTCCTGAACCTCCTCGGGGCTCATGTCCTTGGCCCACACTGGGTTGTGGATCATCTTCTCAGAGAATTTGAGTTCACGGTAGTTGCTCAGTGCCTTGATGAACTTTTCGCGGTGTTCGCGCTGTTCCTTGGTCTTTGGTGCCTGATCATAGATAAAGTACTCGGAAGTACCTGGGGCCCAGATCATCTTGGAACTCTTAAGGCAGATGCTAACCGTGAGGTCCTCCTTGTAGGACACAGGCTTGGGGATGGCGTCCTCGTCCGACTCGGAGTCTCCGGAGGGCAAGTTGCGAGTGAGGACAACTTTCTGCAGCTTGGATCGAGGAACCCCTTCTGTAGGCTCTACTCGGACGTAAGAAGAGATGTAATACTGCCATTTATCACGCGTCTGCATCTCGTCCATGTAGAAGGTAGTCTCGTCTCGCTGGAGCCATCGAACCGTAGCTTCCGCTTTTTGAGGGAACTAGTATCAAGTGTTAGCTGACAAGCACAGGAGCAGTGTAGTACAAGGCGCTTCTCAAACTTACCCAGCAAATGACAAACAAGTCGCCATCCTTGACACATTTCTCGGCGAATTTCCGGGCACTGATCTCTGTCTGATAGCTCGTCTCCTCCCTCTCCCGGTTGATGAGGTACTGCTGGATGAGATCCGGCGTCTTCTCCTTCGCGTCAAGGCTCTTGCACGTCAGCGCTAGGCGGCAAAGGGTCTTGAGCAGATCTTGGATCGTATACAGCTTCCAGCCGTTCTTCAGATAATAGTGCCGCATGACATCCTGGTAACGGTTCTCGTCGACATCGCCGGTAATGTAGTCCTCGATGAGCTCGAGAGTCTTGGGCCAGAACTTGGCAGGCTCCTCATTGGCGTCGAAGAAGGTCATGTGGTTCTCTGTGAATCCAAGGTCTCTGGCAGGCTTGGGCTTGTTGAGACGCTCAATCTCAGCCGCAACGGCCTCCTTGCTGTCTTTAATATCCAGCAGGCGGGAGTAGAGCGTCTGGAAGATGCTGAAGAAGACAAAGATGGTCTGATTGCAGAAGAAATTGTACCACGGACGAGTGAAGAAGCCGTCTGCCTTGAGCTCGCCATCGGCGTCCAAGAGGCCGTTATCGCCATCTCCGACGACGACTGGCTTAGGGATGGTGGGCATCCATCGCTCGTTCGACACTTCAGGGACGGCAGTGTCGTCGTTGGCATCCGGCATCTCCTCTTCGTTGGCGGATCCGACCTCGGGGGTTGTTTCCTTGCTTCCAGAAGCAGCGCTGTCCTCCTTCTGATTCCGTGGTTTGCTACCGTTTCGGCCAGGGTCGAGGACCCCTCTAAGGAGATCGCCCTTCTTTCCATTGCGGCGACTACGGCCGTTGGTCAGCTCAGCTGGCGTCTGGTCCTCAATCTCCTCTTCGCCCGAGTCAGGCTGCATCTTTGGAATCCTCTCCTGAACCACGTCCTCGGGGAGGTCGAAAAAGGTAGGAACAAACGTCTCAAAGAAATCCAAGATGCGTTCCTTCTCCTGGCCGCTGTGCTGGCCGTTATGCATGCTGTAGAGCATCATCAGGCGCAAAAGGTCGAGCACAACCTCCTTGTCTTTGAAGTCCCAGACAAACTGGTGCCGAGGGGCTTTACCCTTGAGAATGCGCTCGCGGCGTTGCTCCTCATGCTTTGTCTTGATGACATCAATCAGATGCTTCGCCGTCAAGTTCCTCTTGTCGGTTGACTTGACCAGGATGCCCATGTGATCCAGGCTCTTGAGGTGCATGTTGTGCGTTTGCGCATGCCACACCTTTTCCCACTCTCGCTGCGAGAAACGCCATTCCTCGTCCTTTTGCTTCATACGGGCCAGAAGCACGGGGACGACATCGAAAGGGTGAGTATACATGTCATTAACAACGTCGATACCACGCTCTCCGTAGATCTTCTTGCAAATGCGCTTGAAGATGGAGGTGCTCTGGCCGGCAAGAGCCGAAGGCATATGGAACGCCTCCCTTTCAGCTGGGGACATTGCGAGCATCTGCTGCGCAATGGGCTCAAGAAGCTGGATGCACTTGAGGTTGGCTTCGATGTTGAAGTCGTAGTCATGGCGCTCCTCTTCAATACGATGGAGACCCTCTTCAAATTGATTCTTTCGGTGAGCGACAAAGCCAGAGTCTTCACTGGCCCAAGTAGGGTGCGAGGCCCAGTCGTCGTTAAGAACCGAATTGCAGAGCTCGTCGCGGCCGCTGCAAGGCTTGAGTCGCTCCTATAATAACCTATCTGTTAGCTGACTGGTATTCTTAAAGTTGTCGTGCCTCGAGTGGTGTTGTTGCTTACCCTCTTTGGTAAAAGGCGATAGCTCGGGCCATATCCGCGGCAATTGCTCAACGAGACCTTCTCAACCGGCGGCGCAGGCCTATTGTCGATGACCACATCTTGAGAGTCGACACCAACAAAGGCCTTCCAAAAGCTCATCAAATCTGGGCTGGCGCCAATGAAGAGGGCACCTTTGTGGTAAAGAGTGTTCTTGTCAATGATGTTCTGGCTGAACAGATTGCACAGCTTGAGAAACTCGTTCATCGAAGACCGATTGCTGAGGTACTTCTTGACCCGCTCAAAGAAGGCAATCTCCTCCTGGTTCGACGTTGCAGGAGAGCGAGGAGGGTAAGGCTCAGGCATGACCGGTGTAAGGGTGGGTTCGATGGAGGCGCCATCTCCGCTGCCTCTCACATGGCTAAGCTTCGGCCGCTTGCTGCCATTGATGTTTTGTGGAGGGAGACGTGCCGAGCTCGGGGGTTCAGCAAGGGGAGCACCGGGAGTAGGAGTCTGCTTATCGGTGCGTGGCCGCTTCTTGTTGTCCTTTGCCGCACTGACTGGTGGTGGGAAGCTTCCCAAGGGGGGCATCTTCTGCCCATCCCTCATCCCAGGCTGAGGGGTGTGGCTTGAGCCAGCGGCGGCACCGTCGTCCTGACGACCACCAGGAGGCGCCCTGGCTTGGCCGGCAGACTCCGGCAGGAATTGTTTGAAATCTTCCAAAAGATCAGGTGCCGAGTTGAAGAGAGTAGTCACTTGAGCGTACACGTCTTGAATTGGCTTTTGCTCTCTCTGATAAGTCTGGAGAATCTCGAGGAACTGTTTGTAGATCTCCGGCTTATCTTGGAAGCGATTCTGCGGGAAGCTCCAGTCAGCGATGCGCGCGCAGATAGGCCGGTGACTTATGAAGACTTACTTTGATCTTGTTCACGTAGCTGATGGCGTGGTTGAATTCAACTGGGCCACGGCGTTCCATGTTGGCAGGGTTCGCAGCACCGCCATTGACTGCACCTGGGCCAGAGGCGGGCATGGGAGTATGACCGCTCCGTGAATTCGGTCCGCCGGGAGGGCCGCCGCTTCCTGGGATCTGAGGAGGGTTCCGCTGCTGATGACCTCCTGGGCCGTCGAACGCACCGCCTTGGGTCGCGGCTTGCACGAACAGGTTCGCACCATTCTGAACAGGAGTGCTGAAGGCAGCCTCCGGGCTCTCAATGCTGTGCTGAGGCCTCTGTTGCCACTGGCCTCCTCGCTCGGGGAACAGAGGCTGGCCACCCACGGCAAGTCCATGGCCATCAGGCTGAGGTCCTCGCCCAGCGATGGACTGAACGGTAGTTCCCATTGGAGTGGTGACTCTGATGGTATTCGGATCATTGCCAGCGCCGCACTCTATCCGATATCCAGGTGGTAGGAAGGTGTTGAACCCTTGGATCAGGTTCGGGTGTCCCGCAAACAGTTCAGAGACACGGTTGATGACTCCTGGGGTGTCAATTCTGAACGCATGTCAGTGTCTGTGATTTTCCAAGAGCTCATATTGTACGTACGCCTGACTCTTGAAGTCTTTCATGATGTCAAGGAAGCGGTTGTAGACGTCAGGCTGGTCGTGAAACTGCACTTTGACTTGGTCAAGGTAAGTCAGGGCATCCTAAAAGATGAAGCTCGTTAGCCAGCAGCCAGCAGATGGAACCAAACAAACAAAAAGGATTTGACGGCACATGAAAGTAGTGGTAGAACCCCCAAAGCCTAGTATCGTCGCGGCAGGCCAGGATCAAGCG